CCAATTTGGGGTGGGGGAGGAGGCTGAAGGCAATCCGTGGCAAGCCTTTCCCTATTGTCAGCCTTCCCAGGTAGACCAGAGAGGGATCAGACCAGGTAAGGCTACATCAGGGGTCTCCAAACTTGGCAACTTTGGACTTGTGGATTTCAACTCCCAGAATTGAAGTCTACAAGTCTTAGAGTGGCCAAGTTTGGGGGCCCTTGGGCTACATTAACAGGATCTTGAGAGTTTGAAAGTACGAATCTCCCACCGTTTGCTTGATAGCCTTGAGAACGGAAGGAGGCCTCCTTCTCTCGGCCTCTTATGCAGCTGCAGGCCGTGACCTCTTCAGCCTAATCGTTCTTCGAGGCAGCCTCCCTTCACCCCACAAGGTCTTTCTCACACACCACTATGCCTCTTCTCACCTTGGCAGGTTGATGGCCTGTTCATCATTGGCTGGATGTACTTGACCCCCCATGACCCTCACGTGGACGGCCCCATGCGCTTCAAGCCCCTCTTCAGGGTCCACCTCATGGAGAGGCGGAGCGCCACAGTCGAATGCATGTACGGGCACAAGGGACCCCACAGTGGGCATATCCAGGTGAGGCCCTCCCTCTTCTCCCTCTTCCACGGAAGGAAGGGTTGCAGATATTTACTCGAAGTAAAACCGCTCCAAACTCGATTGCAGAAAGTACGACTTCAGCAACCGAGTGGTCAGTGCCTGGGATGCACTACCTGACTCTGTTGTTACATCCTCTAACCCCCCACTCTTTTAACCTCAAGCTATCCACTATGGACCTCACCCCTTTTCTAAAAGGCCTGTAAGGGGCGTGCATAAGCGTACCATCGTGCCTACTATCCCTCTCCTATTGTCCCCATTTATTTGTACCTATTTCCTGTATTCTTTACTCATGTTTATACTTATATCTATCACCTTGTAAGCGATTGACAAATCAAATCAAATCAATAAATAAATACTAACAGAATCGGGAGGGACCTTGTAGGTCATCTAGTCCAACCCCCCACCCAAGCAGGAGACCCTACTGTCAACTCCTAAAATATTTCTAGGGTCTTTTTAGAGTTGCCAACAGAAAGGGAGGGGGGAGCAGTGTGGCAGCTTGCAAACTTGGCAGGTGCATTCCACAAATGTTTTCAAATATAGCAACAAGGTCACTGAAGTTTCTGCCGTGCCAAATTCTTACTGGAGAGCATGACTGATGACTCTTGGCTATGGAGGTGTCCCATTGGAGAATATGAATTACGATACACCCAGGGGGTGAGGAAAAACCAGGGTCAAAGGTGACAGTGTATTATGTGCCTCAGAGTCGGCTCCACCCAGGCAGTGCCGGACATTTTAACTCCCAATAAATCCTTTTGAAGTTTTGGAAGTTTGGCTCAAGACTCGTGATTTAAATGGGGGTAACTGCCGGAATCCGGACACCTACACCATTTCTGACAGGTGGCCGTAAAACTCCACCCCCCCCCCCCCCCCGGACTTCTATTCAGAGGCCCCAGATGCTTAGTCCAGGCAGGGCTTCATTTCCCTAGATTGGGCTTCGGCCTTCTGACTTCCAACCCCCCCCTCTCCTTTTATTCCTCCCTCCCCAAACGGACAGATTGTGAAGAAGGATGAGTTTTCGACCAAGTGCAACCAGACGGATCACCACCGAATGTCAGGAGGGAGACAAGAGGTAAGCTTGGTCTCGGCACACCCCCTCACCCAAAATAAAGCCTCCTCATTTGGCATCCTCCAAATAATGGTGGCTTTTATTCATCCAACCTCCGGCCAGGGCTGTCTTAACAGCATCATGGGCCCCGGGCAAAGCAGTGGACTGGGGCCCCTACAACAACTATGTACAGGAATAAGAATGTAAATGGTTGATAAAATGAAACATACATTTATTTTATTGGCACTTTAGTTTCCTTTCTTATCACTGTACCTCATACAACAAAATCAAACGGCATCTTGACCATGAAAATAAACACAAAGACACATCCTTCACACTCCGCACATTGAACTGAAACCCCGCAATACCGCACCAACACTGCACTATACAGTAGAATTCAGTAGAGTTACTGCCCTGGGATTGAAGCTGTTTTTCAGCTTATTTGTCCTGGTTTTTATTATTATCCTGTACCGTCTGCCAGATGGTAATAGTTCAAAAAAAAAAAGGGTGCCCAGGAAGAGATGGATCTTGGAGAATGTTTTGAACTTGCAACAAAATTGGTGTTGAAACATTAAAACCGTGTTGGGCAGCCACAACTAAGCAACGTGATCAACATTTGAACAATAGGCGAGGCTTGAAAAACACAATAAGTCTCAGTGTGCCAGAATTCTGGGAGTTGAAGTCCTCCAGGCTTCAAGTTGCCAAGGTTGGAGGCCCCTGATTTATACGATACCAGGTGCACTGAAGGGCTAACATACACAGGTTAGTATGGGTCTCCTATGCTCGTGGGGCCCCCAGGCAAATGCCCATCAGGCCCCAAGACAGCCCTGCCTCCGACTGGTTTCCTGAACCACCTAGTGGGAGGTGCGAACAGGATCACAAGGGTTTATACCCCACCTGTGGGTCTCACCTTTCCCTCCTGGCTGTTTCTGCAGGAGTTCCGGACGTGGCTACGAGAAGAATGGGGTCGGACACTGGAGGACATTTTCCACGAACACATGCAGGAGCTCATCTTGATGAAGTTCATCTACACGAGCCAATACGAGTAGGTAGAAAGGGGGCGATCTGGTTTCTTCCCTCAGTCACAGCCAAGGGACAGATTCAGGATGCTGACTTAAGAGTAGCAATACCCTTAGACTTACATGCCCTTCACAGGGCTTCACAGCCCCCTCTAAGCAGTTCACAGAGTCAGCCTATTTGCCCCCAACAATCTGGGTCCTCCTTTTACCCACCTGGGAAGGATGGGAGGCTGAGTCAACCTGGAGCCGGTCAGGATTGAACTCTTGGCAGTGGGCAGAATTATCCTGCAGTACTGCATTCTAAGCACTGTGCACCATGGATGGATGGATGGATGGATGGATGGATGGATGGATGGATGGAAGGAAGGAAGGAAGGAAGGAAGGAAGGAAGGAAGGAAGGAAGGAAGGAAGGAAGGGGGAGAGAGAGAGAGGGAGGCAGGGAGGGAGCGAGGAAGGAAAGAAGGAAGGAAGGAGAAAAGAGCAATATAGTGCTTAGACTTATATACCGCTTCACGGTGCTTTCCAGCCCTCTCTAAGCAGTTCACAGAGTCAGCCTATTTGCCCCCAACAATCTGGTTCCTCGTTTTACTGACCTTGGAAGGACGGAAGGTTGAGTAAACCTTGAGCCTGATGAGAGTTGAGCTGCCAAATTGCAGCCAGCAGGCAGTCAGCAGAAGTAGCCTGCAGTACTGCACTCTCACCACCTCAGCAATAAATTGTGCTGGCAAGTTTCGTCTATTGCACAAGCAGTCTTGTGTCCCAAGGAGAATTCCCTCTCCTCTCCCTTCCCTCTCTCTTCCTCCTAAGCTAGTTCCCCCCCACCTTCACGTCCCCTAGAAATCCTGGACTGCAACTCCCATACTTCCCTCTCCTGTGCCTACCTGGGACACATCAGGTGTGGGAGAATCAAGGATTCAGCCTTTCTGGTTTTCAGGGAATTTAAGCACAGAAGAAGAGAATTTTCCCATCCTATTTTAGTCATCAGTTTCCTTTTGAGTATTAAACAGCAGCCTGCCTAAAAATCAGAAACTGCCGCTGGAGCAACCCACCATCCTATGAATAAGCTGGCTTTGAAACAGCATCCCCTAATGTTGGCTTTCCAATTAGCCAGGATTGAAAGAGGGGAGGGGGGAAGGGGGAGGTTCTGACAGCAAGGAAAATGGAGAGAAGGCAAAACACACAGGACTAAAGGAAAACTCCACAGGAGGGACCAAGGAAATTATATCTATCCCATTTCAGTCGTCCAGGGATTCCCTTAGGCCCGGCCTTAGTCTGTCTGACTAAAGGGCTAGAAACTTTAATTTGGGACACCTTTGTTTTAAATGAGAAAAGTTCACACCACAATATGAGATTTAGAATCACTGAATGAGATGGGCAGCGCCTAAGTTTTGATAAACCAAAATAAAAAAGGTGAATTGATAAGGGAACGCGAATTGTTCCCACCAGTCCTCTCATCCTGGTCATCCTGGGCTGCTTTTTCTGTTCCAGCAACTGCTTAACCTACCGCCGCATTTACCTCCCTCCGCGCAGTCCGGAGTACCTGATCCAGCCGGGCCTTTTCAAAGGGACCTACGGGAGCCACGGCCTCGAGATCGTCATGCTCAGCTTCCATGGGAAAAAGGCCAAGGGAACCAAAATCACAGTGAGCACGGAGGGTCTGGAATCATAGGTGGTTGCTGTGGTAACCCAAAGGGGCGTGGCACAAAGGCAACCCAATCAGATAATCCATAGGAGTCCCTTTATTAGCTCCAACTTTGCCCCCAATGTCCTGGTTACCTTCTGGGCTGGAGAAAAACTCTCCCAGGAACAAGATTCAAGTCCAAAACATGGTCAACAAAAACTGTAACTATGAGTCCAATCAAGGCAAAATCAGGTAATTGGTTTGGCAGGGCAGGAGCAAGAATTCCAGATGTGAAGGCACGGCAATAACTCAACACGGTTGGGAAGATGCCAGGAACACAGATAATCCAAATCAACAATAAGATAAATTCACATTTGTTCCCGGCAGCTGCCACTCTCAGCATGTATCTCTTTTAAACTCTCATTCCCAGCTGCAGCTAATGAAGGGAATCAGGGCCCTTTCCTCCCCCATAAGCCACGCAACTCATGTTGCTCTCTTCTCCGTTCCTCTCTGCGTGCCCTAGGATGAAGAGGGGATGGGCCTGGGTTTTCCTCTGAACCCCCTCTCCCTTGTTCTCCCTCTCCCCTGCTTGGCCCAGCCGGACTTTGCCCTTCCTCAGTTTCCTCCGCAGCCAACAGAGCTGCACTCCCACTCCTTATCAGCTGTTCGTCTTCCTCCTTGGATTCAGACTCCACAGGGGCAGGACAGCTGCTCGTGCCATGTGTTTTTATTATTTTTAGTAATGCTTCCATCCTGCTTTCTGGAAACACTGCCAAGACTACATACCTCTCACCTGACGTAGCAGTATCAACACAAAAACTACAAATCAGCTGAAGATTTCAAACTGCAACTACGAAATCCCACCTGGCGACTTGGAGGTGTTGAAGTTGAGTCAGGAAGACAGAGGCAGCTTCCCAGAGTTCTCTCTCCCAGCCTCCGGCCAGAAGGGTTGGGCCTCCAGGTCTCTTCCTTCAGGAATCCTGCTGGCAGAGCAGAAGGAAGGTCCACTCCTGAGCAGCCAGGAGATGACAGCCTGCCTAAGATCCACAGATTTCCAGCCTTCAAGGCAGACCAGACGAAGGAACCAAAGTCATGCGGGCTAATATTGCTTTTCTTATATAAGATTTTAGTGATTTTCCTCTCCCGATGGTCATAAAGCAAACGCAATAGCCGTAAAGCGAACACAGCAGCTGTTAAGCAGACCAGTGGTTTGCTACAAGGGCACAGTTTTGACAAAAAAAAACCAAAACAGAAATATGTGTTGGTTTCCAGCAAAACCATCCTAAAATGCAGGCACATGTATATTGCAAAGGGCCATGTTGCCCTGTGCTTGAAGTTGGCCACATAAGGAGAAGACGTGTCTGTTGGAACTTTGAGTCCAGGTCACAAGTCTCCTTTTCCAGATTAGCTGTAACTTCAAATGGTCCCTAAGTGACCAGTCGTAAATAAAATAAAATCGTAAATAAAATTGAGATAAGAGGGCTGGGGAGAAGCAGAAGGTGGCTTGGAGGAAGGTACCTGACGGGAGCTTCTAGGAGAATGGCAAGGTTAGAGGTGGACAAAGTCGTGCCTGGCCACTATTTTATATTATTGTTATTGTTTTTATTATTATTATTATTATTTAATCTTTAGTGAGATTCACAGCCTTTGGGGCTGGTTAGCAGCTCAACAGCTCGAGTCCTAACCAAGGACCTATAGGAACTGTTCAGGTAGCGTCAGAGGATATAAGCTGTTCCAAGTAGGGTGGTTTTTTGTAGAATCAGAGTATTCAAGCCTGATAAATTCAGGATTTCC